CCTCGCTGGGCACGTGGCTGGCATACAGCCCTCGGCATCAGCACCTGAGCTTGTTGCCCCTGAGCCCTCCTTCCGTCCTAGTGCAGGCTGATGAGTGGTGTTTGTGGGGGTCACGGCCTTGGAGCCAGAGCCAGGACCAAGGCCAGCCACTGACTCCACTTCCGTCTTCTGTCCGTAAAGTGGGGCTCGTTTCGTTTAAGAGCTGCCAGATCCTGGGAGGGCTTAGGAGCCCGTGGCCCACAGAGCAGGCGGGTCAGTGCACCAGTGCCCCCAGAACAAAGTGCCACAAACCAAGAGGCTTAAAAAACCAGAAATGTATCATCTTATAGAGGTCGGGGTCAGCAGAGCCCTCTGGAGGCCCTAGGGGCGGCTGCTTCCTGGCCTCTGCCAGCTTCTGGGGGCTGCAGGAGCTCTGGGGCTGTGGCTGGCTCGGTCCAGTCTCTGCTGCGTCGCCTGGGATGTTCCCCTGCTCTCTGTTCGTATTCCCTCTTGGACACTCACTCTACTCCAGGGTGACTTCATCTTAATTACATCTTTCATGACCATATTTCCAAATGAGGTCACATCCAGGGCTTCAGGGAGTTAGCAGTTCATGTGTCTTTTTCGGAGAGGCACATAACAATCTGCCCCATGGTGGTGCCCTCTCACATGCAGGTTACAGTTAACCCCAGTATCCCCAAAAGTCCTCACCATTTCAGCCTCAAGTCCAAGTCCAAAATCTTATCTAAATACCATCCACACGAAGTTCCACATCTCAGCATGTAAACAGCATCTAAATGAGGTCCAGGTGAGACATGGGGTGTGTCCCTTCCTCTCCAGCTGGGATGCTGTGAAATCAGGCAACAGACGCTGTTTCAAAAATTCAACGGTGAGACAAGCGTAGAATAGACATTCCCACCCCAACAGGGAACACTGGAAGGAAAAAGGGTGGCAGGTCACCCCAAGTCCAAACGCAGCAGCCGAATTGCATTTGATGCCGCGGCCTGCGGATCCTGGGCCCAGGGCTCCATCCTCGGCCTGCGGGGGCAGCCCCGCCCCACCAGCCTCGGCCTCTGCATCTGGAGCCAGCCTGCCGGCCTCTCAGTCCAGCCTGGCAGCGTTTCTGCTGGTGAAAGTCTCACAAACCTCATTGGCTTCACCCTCGTGCAGCTCACCAGCGTCCAGGCCCTCAGACGAGGGTCCGCAGCCCTTTCCCGGAGCCCCAGCTGCCCGTCTGCTGCTGAGACGGCTGGACACAGATCACACCTCACCTCGTAAATCCTGGTCCAGCCACAGCCTTAGCCCTGTCTCAGAGCTGCCTGGATCATCAGAGCGGTTTTCAAATCTCCAGGGGCTGGTGCCTTTTTGCTTAATGTTTCCGTACTCACTGATTTTTCCCTTGCCTTCTGCTACTAAGTGGCAAGGAGAAGCCAGGCCACAGCTTCTTCGCTGCCTGGAGATCTCAGCTGAGCATCCAGGCTCGGCAGCTGCAGCCCCGCTTTCCACCCAGCAGCAGAGCATCAGCCCCAGGCTCCCTGCTGCCCCCTCCGCCACAGCAGGCGCTCACTCCGCCCGAGACTCAGCAGAAGCACCTGTTAGGGGGCATTGCTGAGCCACGTTTCAGCAGCGCCCTTCCTGGTACCAAAATGTGTCCGTTTCTTGTGGCTGCTGTAACAGTGTCACAAACTGGGTGGCTTTAGAATAACAGAAATAGACTGCCTTGGTTCTGGAGGCTGGAAGTCAAGATTAAGGTATTGGCAGGGCCCCGCTCCCCCGGGAACCTCTTAGAGCTCCGCTGCCCTCCAGCTTCTGGTGTTGGCTTTTGCCGCAGCCCTTGGTGTTTCCTGGCTTGTGGCCGCGTAGCTCCAGCCAGCCTCTGTCCTCCTGGGGCACCTCCCGCCGCCTGTGTCTTCCGTCATCCTTAGAAGGATGCCCGTTGGTTGGGTTAGGCTGCACCCGCACCAGTGTGACCTCATCTGCCCTGTTTGCCAGTGCACCTGCGTTTCCAGGCACGGGGGGTTAGGATGCACACAGCTTTTCTGGGACACATCTTGTGACACCGGCCCCATTGCTGTTTTCTGGTGGCTGAGCAAGTGGGGCCCACCAGGTCCTGTGCTCCCGCTGCTCAGCTGTCTGCTGGGGGCAGGGTGGGCCAGGCGGCTCTGAGAGCCCTTCCTCACCCGGTTCCAGGTGGCAGAGCCCGTGAGCCTGGGCCCCCTGCAGCCGAGCCGCCCACACTGACCCTAGCCCTCCTTAGGCCATGCGGACCCTCAGCTGGAAGCACACTCTGGGCCTGGTGACCATGGATGTGGAGCTGGCCGACCGCACGCTGTCTGTGGCCGTCACCCCGGTACAGGCGGTGGTTCTGCTGTACTTTCAGGACCAAGGTGAGTCCACCGGCCCCCAGCTGGTCTGCCCTGGCCCCACAGCCCCGCTGTGGTGAGGGGCTGCTCCCCAGTGAGGGTGTGGCCTGGGGCAGCCAAGCCAGCAGGCAAGGCAGGGGGGTCTGGGCCCCCGACCTCTGCGGCCCGTCTGCAGGCCGCCCAGGGTCTTGGTCGCTGTTCGCACAGCCAGCTGGACCCTGGAGGAGCTGAGCAAGGCGGTAAAGATGCCCGTGGCGCTCCTGCGGCGGAGGATGTCTGTGTGGCTTCAGCAGGGCGTGCTGCGGGAGGAGCCCCCCGGCACCTTCTCTGTCATCGAGGAGGAGCGGCCTCAGGACAGGGACAGCATGGTGCTCATCGACAGTGACGACGAGAGCGACTCGGGCATGGCCTCCCAGGCCGACCAGAAGGAGGAGGAGCTGCTGGTGCGCGTGCCGGGCTCACGGGTCGGGGGCGTGCGGCGGGGCGCGGGGAGGCCTGCTTGCGCCTGACGGGGGCTGGCCGGTGCGCACAGCTCTTCTGGACCTACATCCAGGCCATGCTGACCAACCTGGAGAGCCTTTCGCTGGAGCGCATCTACAACATGCTGCGCATGTTCGTGGTGACCGGGCCCGCGCTGGCCGAGATCGACCTGCAGGAGCTGCAGGGCTACCTGCAGAAGAAGGTGCGGGACCAGCAGCTCGTCTACTCAGCCGGCGTCTACCGCCTGCCCAAGAACTGCGGCTGACGCGCCCGCCCGCCTGCCCGTCCATCTGCCACCCGGCCCCGCCCTGCAGGTGCTCTCCTTCTCCTGTGCCAGCCCCCACCCGCGTGTGTCCCAGAAGGCACCGCTGAGGGGCACCCACCCCCACCCCACAGCGTGCAGATTAAAGCAGTCGGATCATCCTTTCCTGTCCTGGTGGCTTTGTGGGGCCCCTGGGGTCCCCCGCTAGCCTGGGCCTTTCCACCTCAGCCTGGCAGGATCTGCTCCCCGGCAGCAAGTGGGGGGCCCACCCAGGCCTGCACATCTGCAGCAGGAATGCGGCCTCCTGAGAGCATCCTGGGCCACTCCTGGCTTGGGCAGAAAGTGGTGCATGAAGGCTCACATCACACCTGGGCCACAGCTCAGGCAGCCACGTCCCAGGGCTTGGTGCCACCTGCTGGACCTCTGGCTCCACCCTGCGCCTGTGGCCTTTGGAAGGAGCCCTGGCGTTACCCTCTGCTCAGCCAGTGCCCACTGCCACGTGCCAGGCTGGGAGGCTGGGGGTATGGGGCGAGGCTGGGGTGTTTTGTGGTTTCTGTTGGAACTGCTGGGCTTGTGGATGACCCCTTGGCCAGCGTTTGGCCAGCATTCCTCCTCTCCAGCAGCGAGGCTCTGCTCCAGGGCCTGCCCTGCTGGCCGGGGGGACCGGGTGTTTGTCCCCTGCTCCACACTGCAGGGTGGCCGCAGCACTCAGGCTCACAAGTGTGCCTCAGAAGGCGGATAACTCACCCCTGTGACCCCCGCACGTGCCGCCAAGCATGTGCAGACTGTCCAGGTCCCGTCCAAGAGGCTGCCCTGGGAGAAGGAGATGCCATCAGGCTGAGCGACGGCCCTGGGGTCTAGCTCTGGGCTCTTCTGCTTCTAAAGCCTGGGCCTCTGTCCCAGAGGGGCTGTTTCCAGGCTGGCTACGTTCCACCCCATGACACCGTCCTTGCAGGGGACAAAGGCAGTTTGAAACCGGTGCCTGGAGTCCTCCTCCTGCTGCAGCACCTTCCCAGGCTGTGAGCTGCACCTGGTTTCACTTCCCCCACCGTCCCCAGATGCCCTTGCTGGTGCCTACATGTCCACTGTCCTGGGTTCCTGCAGCCACCGCCCAGCACCCTCCCCACCTCTCCAGCTCTGGCCTGTTTGAGCCATCCGGCTCCATTTCTGCACCCTCCTTGCTCTAAAGAACTCTGCCTCGGGGCTTGAAGGAGGAAGTGGCCAGCATTAGGCAGGCGCTAGATGCACAGCCCCTGACCCTCAGGTCCCTGTCCCTCAGGCCCCTGACCCTCAACCCCTGACCCTCAGGCCCCTGACCCTCAACCCCTGTCCCTCAGGCCCCTGACCCTCAGGCCCTGACCCTCAACCCCTGACCCTCAGGCCCCGACCCTCGGCCCCTGACCCTCAGGCCCTGACC